TGAATTTATCTCCACTCACCGTCCTCGGGATCGGGTCCTTACAACACTGCTGGGGGACCCCAGTGGGGGTGACCTCAGCACCCCACCTCCACGTGAAAGATGTCAGAGCAAGCTTGAAAAAAATAAAAAAATAAAAAAAATTAAACCAATCAAAAAACAATGAGATGGTGGAGGTCGCCCTAGTGGGTCTGGGGCATTTTCCAAAATAATAATATAATTAAGATATATATAATACCTTTATTTCAAGAGATATGTACCAAATATAACAAAAATAACTTAGATCCCAATCCTCACCACCCCATTAATTTTTGATTGGCTCAATTTTTTTTTTTGTTCACCACTCTTTGACCCCACGTGTACGTGGGGCGGGGCGGTGGAGTCCCCCATGTGGGGATCTCTAGCGCTGCTACAAAAATAAATGACGACTAGTGAGATTTCTTGGGGGCTAAGAATAAAATTTTCCAATTTCATTCCTGCAATTTTCCTGAAACTAGCGGCTCCCATAAAGGTATGTACCAAATAAGCTTTTTTTTTTTTTTTTTTTTTTTTTAAAAAAAAGTGTTCTTTATCGTACAAATCGATTGAACACTCCACAGTAGTCGTCTATCCAGCATTGAAAATCAAGTTCTTGTTTGGTTTGGTTTTAAGAGAGTAATTTTGGAAAAAAAAAAAAATTAAATTTTGTTTGGTTTAGTAATTAAGGAAAAAAGTTTCAAAATTACTTTTTTTCTCCCACACATCAATCAATCATTTTTTTTCTTTTTCCTCTCTTATTCTCAATCACTTTTTCTCTCACACACATCTACTCAACTACAACAAAATATGAAATCATTCCAAACTCTCATATTCTAAAACTATTTCCAAAATATACAATCAAACAAACCAAATTTTTTTTAAACTCTCTCCCTAAATTTTTTTTTTTAAAATTTATCTCTCAAAACCAAACCAAACATACCCTCTTTGTCATCTTTAATGTTCATTATTTTTTGCATTCTTTAAGCAGTGAGTAATTAGATTAGCAAGTTAAAATTTAACAAATTTTAAAATATATTTAAATATATATTGTTTGTATAATAAATTAATCTTAAATTAATTTTTAATAATTCAAATGAAGCCCAGACAATTATGTTTAATTTACAAGCGTATCTCCGTCCATATATTGTAAAAATATGATCAAATATCTAATCAATTTTAAAATTTTTAATGATTGATTTTTTAATGGGCCCTTCATGTTAATTGGATCATCAAAGTAGGTTTAAAATAGGTCCATCAAACCCAACAACAACTCTAAGTCGTTTTGGGAACCAAAATAAAAAATCACGTTTTTGTCAAAATGTCAAAAAACGCAAGTGGCAAAAACGCAACAAAATTGGTTTGGAAAGTGTCAAAAATGCAAGTGTGAAATTATAAATTTCAAGAAAGGAGTTGGAAATGGATCCGAACCCTTTCGAGGCTTAGAGCCATTTAGCCCGTTTGATGGCGATAAATCTGGGCCCACCGATTCTTGGACTTGCAATAAATTCGGGCCCACTAATCTTGGGCTATTGGGCCTAAATAATTTAGTGGGCTCAAATTAGCCCCTCTTACAGGGCTTATGACAAAAAAATAAAAAAATAAATTTCTTATGTTGGGTAAGGGTATTTTGGTCATTTTAATTTGATTTGACACCATAAATAAATATTAAACTAAAAAATCAAAAGCTAATTTTTTACCAACTTCTCAAATCACTTTCTAAAAAGTTAAAAAGCTTGATAAAAAGTCAAAAACTAACTTTTTACCAACTTCTCAAAACACCCCTAAGTCAGGCATCAAGTCAGAGAGAAACTATTTCTTATATTTATATAGATTTATATGATGATATCGGAAAAAGAGTTCAAATTCTTTATAGTGCATTGACTATAATTCCACAGGACACATCGTTTTGGAGGGGGAGGGAAGCAGGAAATGAACTGATGTTGGTTTTTTTTATATATAAATTTAGTCCCAAACCGATCTCATTTCGAAGAAGATGAGTGTGTGTATCGTATATGTCCTAGTTACGGCGTTTGTGATTTTTAAGTATGACCTATTAGAGTGTTAATTACAATTTGATTATATATATTATGGTATTAGATATGACACATTATAATATTGTTATAGCATTATTTTAGTTATGGTTCAAAAACTCGTTAGTTATATATATATATGTGATGTTTATAACTCATTTTTTAATTATAATTCTTATAAAATTAAATTATGATATTTCTAATGATCCACCTCACAAATATTATAACTTATACACATTTTGTTGAGGCTGTGTCTTCCTATCTATCTCATAGCATTGCCCCTCCTATAATTATCACATCCGACACTTTTGTCACTCTTATCTCTAAGGAAAGAGGAATCTCAATAATACAACTTCACCAATATAAAAAGCCTTTTTAGTCTTCTTCACTGGTGCCCTTAGTTGTAGTTTTCACTGGTGCCCTCTTAACGATCTCAAAGGCAACTCAAAGGTTTTCTACCTTCGCCAAAGGTAAAAATGATTTTACATATTGTGTTTTATGTTCCTATATTTACATTTATTAATGTACTTTGATTTGAATCAGTTTAGGTTAAGTTGGGCTTGTTTAGTTGTGTGTGTGTGTGTGTTTTTTTTCAAATTTTTTAAACCAAAAAATTATTTGATGAATTATTTTCGGCAGTTATAAATAATCCACTTTTTTAGGAAATACTAAAAAAATTGTCAATTTTTGAAAACTATTTTTGCATAGAAATGATAAATATAAGAATAGGTGTTTTGGATTTTAGAGTTGCTAAAATTAAAAACCTCAATTTCCCATTATCAAACTAACTTAGACTCGCTTCATCTTATACAACTCACTAAGGAAATTATCCATAAAATAATTAAGTTGATTTAACACTACAAAAAATTGAGGTTTTAAAGACTAAAATTTAAGGACAAAATTATTTTTTAGTGACCAAATATTTTTGTTGTAAAAAGTGTCGTCATTATATTTTTAGCAACAAAAATTGGATATTAGTGATGAATTATTATCTTTTTAGGATCAAATTTTTTGTCTCAAAAAATAAATTATTTTGAGATCAAATTATCTTGTCCCTAAAAGTCTATTTAATAGTGACACTTCCATTATTTTGTCGCTAAAAGCTTTATTTTTAACCTCACGATGATAGAAATTGGTCCTAAATGTCTCGTGTAACAAAATTTTCACTTTTAGAGACTAAAATATTTGGTTTCTAAAACTCTTATATATTGTAGTATAATATCGATTGCTATACTATTAGATTATTTTTATTTATCCAGCCTACATGTTTTTAATAATAGACTATTTATATGTTATATATATATATATGTGTGTGGTTTGATCATGTGATTACTTATATCTGATCGACTTAATTTTTTGTCATGCATGTTCTTCTTAACTTATTATGTGAGATAAACGGTTTGGATTATTGATATGGGTACGGGTTAGTTTTATAATGCATCTAACTTCACCTGTGAAGTTGAGACGTTCAACTTTAACAGATCCAAACTCGGGTGAGTAAGGACTGGACTAACTTGACATGGGTTCGAGTAGTGGTGTTCAGTTTTGGATATTTTGGGCATCATACGTGTACTCTCTGTTTTATGTTTTTAGTGAATTTATCTCTCCCCGTGGATGTAGGCATTTGGACTACACCACGTTAAATATTGTGTGATTATTTTGTGTGTACATATATTTTGTGGGTATGTTTCCATTGACACATGAGCTCACAATTTATATGGAGGTATCAAAGTTTTTTATGGCGGGTATTTAGTTTTCCCAATAGAAATTTTAAAATGTAAAAATAATTAAAATGAATGTATTTAAATAAACCCTAGTTGCTCTTTTAGCAGCCACACAATCAATATATATATATATATACGTATGTATATTGATACATGTATGAACATTATATTTAGTAAGCTATATTTATGTAAATACATATGTATCTTAAATTGTAAAAATAATTTAAATGAATGTATTTGAATAACTACTATTATTTTTTTATAATTTTTAATATATTTATGAGGTAATTAATACATCATGGTTCGAGTTTGGTTGACCCAATTGATTTATTCTTAATTGGATCCCTTTTCCAGTTTGATCAATGGTTTTGATCTTAGAACATTATACCTGGGCACTAGGACTGTCTTTTTTACATAATGCATATTCCAATTACGTTATTGTTTGATTATTGCTAAAAAGTAAGCATCATGTGGTCTGTTAGTATTCTTATAGTTGTGTGTGTGTGTGTTTTTTTTATAAATAAAATATAAAAAAATTGTTTGGATGCTTTTTTTAATTTTTGTAATATTTAATCTATGTATAACTAGAAGAAGTCACATTTGTTGGATGCTGCAGAGCCTTTGTGACTAATAAAGACCATGGGTTGCATAAGTTCTAAAAGGGCAAGAACGAGATTTCACTATACTGCTCAACCAAACGTGGCCTATGTTACCTCACGTCCAACTCACAGCTCTGGTGGTCAACCTTCAGAGTCAGAAAGAATGTCTGAGAACAATTTCAACAACATAGATGAGGTAACATAATATTTTTACTTATTTGAGTAATAATAAAAGGGCAAGAAGATTGCCAATAATGTGGAAATCAGAACATTAGGTATACTACATTGCAATGTGCTACTCCTTATCCTGCATGGAAGCTAGATATCAGTGTTTTCATTGATATAATGATTTTTAAATTTTGTGTTTGATCTCATGAGTATTGAGGTTGGAAGGCATTGGTTATGGAACTCCTGTTATTAGTAATGTTATCTTGGTAAATGCTTCTCTATTTATGAATTGATTTTAGATTTAATTGGAACTGGTGATTTTAGATTTTAAATTCAATGATTGCCACAAGAACTGAGATTAGGTATATACTGTATTGCAATATTGATTTACGTATCAATATGTATGTCATAACAAATGGATTTATCTGTATGGCCTGGCTGAATAGTGCATATGCTTGAATTTGTTTGCAAAGCACAACACTTGGTTTTACCTTATTTTATTGGTTGATTACTCATTACATATTGCATGTTGTTGTGATGTGTGTATATGCGATCGGTACAAATTTGAGACAAATTCTCACTTATTGATGGTGCTTTTACCTACATGGGTGATCCCATTTGAAAAATTATCTTAAAAATAATAACCCAACCAAGTTTACTTCTTTTCTAACAGGTTACGAGAGCCTTAGCACTTAATGGCCTAGAAACTGCAAATCTTATTGTTGGCATTGATTTCACTAGGTCCAATAACTGGACAGGTTTGATCTCATCTTAGTATGTTAGTTTTTTTAGTAACACTGCTACGTGCTTAAGTTATATTGATACCTGGTATTAGGTGGAACGTCATTTCAAGGGAGAAGCTTGCATCATATTGGTGATGAACAGAACCCTTATGAACAAGCAATATCAATTATTGGAAGGACATTATCTGGCTTTCACGACAATAACTTAATTCCTTGTTTTGGATTTGGAGATGGTATTTTCTAATGAAGAAAACATTTAATTTAGCGTTTAGTATATTTTCCACATAATGGTAATCATATGTTTATTCAATGTTGGCAGCTTCAACTCTTGACCGAGACATCTTTAGTTTCTATCCAGATAAAAGACTTTGCAATGGATTTGAGGAAGTGCTGACACGTTATAAAGAATTAGTCCCTCATCTAAAACTTTCCGGTTGAAATTTGTTTCATGCACTTTCTTTATTGTTCTTCTTATACAAGTTGTATTTTGCAGCTTCTGATATTTTTGCTTCTTTTATGTGCAGGGCAAACATCATTTGCTCCCATCATTGAAATGGCCATCACTATTGCTGAGCAAAGTGACCGCCAATACTATGTTTTATTAATAATAGCAGATGGACCGGTATCTATTTTTGTTCTGGATTTTTTAGTTTAATATGATATTTTGTGTAAGGTAGGTTTGTTTTAATTGCCTGATGTGCCATAACTAATATTGAAAATGGCACATATGAAGCCAAAAACTGCCACTTTTGCCTAATGATGTGCCTAATGGTATTGTGTGTAAGTAGAGTTTATTTAGTGGCAATAGGTAAACGAAATTCAAGGTATATATTCCAAATATCAAGTTCTTGATCTCGCTTTGTTGATCACATTTCAACTTTAGACTCTCAAGGTCCTATTAATTACTGGTTGTCATAGGTGACAGGAGATGCAAGACTTTCGAGGCAAAGCCCACAGGTAGAGGAAACTATTAACGCTATTGTGAAAGCAAGGTACGTTGCAGGTTGTAAGTTTCCTTTGTGATAGCTCTATTGCCAAAACACTTCAAATGCCAGAACATTTTCAAATGTGCTTCTTGTTTATTTGTAGAGAACATCCATTGTCAATAATTGTAGTTGGGGTTGGAGATGGACCATGGGACATGATGAAGAACTTTCTTAATGACGTTCTTGTTCACGACTCTTTCAAATTCCAGGCGAGTATTAGTACGAGTATAGCAGAAAATTGAAGTTCATCTTGTCTGTTTGTCTTATTTGCTCTAATTCTATGTTTTTCTTTTTTAGTTTGTGAATTTTACAGAAATTATGTCAAAGAGTATGGACATATCCAAGAAAGAAGCAGCATTTGCTGTAGCGGCCTTGAGGGGAATACCATCACAATATAAATCAACATTAAATCTTAAACCGCGGTAACAATTAGAATTCTCTACATTAGAGTTGAGGATTTGGCTTTTATGTCCAGGGCCAAATTTTGTATAATTTATTTATTTATGTTACATTGTTCCATTGGTTGTCCTAGTGGGCAGGGGAGTGTGATGAGGTCCCATTGCCCCATCAACTAATCAAAAATTCTTAATTTTTTTATTTATTTATATTATTAATATTTTATTTAATATAGTTTGATCTCATTAAAAAATTAAGGGATTACACCAAATAAGATACACATCAGTTAGAGATTCACTTTGAGAAGTTTAAATTATTCTCCTTGGTTAAAATTTTAGAACTTTTTATTTATTATTTTTTTTGTCTATAGTGATTTTTTAATATTTTAATATATATATATATATTTTGTAATTTTTAGATTACTTAGTCTATATATACTAAAAAAGTAAAATAATTGTGAAAAAGCTTTTAAAAAATCAGTAAATACAAGAATTCAATACATTTGCATACTTTTGGTATTTATTGATTTTTTTATAGATTTTTTTTCAATAATATTTTACTTTTTAAGTATATTTAAATTAGATGCATCTAAAAACTTAAAAATTGATTAAAATATGATTTTTTTTTTTACTAAAGACAACAATATTAAAAAAAAAAAAAAACTCAACTTATTTTTGAAAATTCAAAACAAAAGCAGAATGATATTGTTTGGTTTCTTTTTCTTTTTTTTTTCCTTACAAAATTTGTAAAAACTTGTATATAGGTTTTACATGAACATCATAAGTAGTTCTGGAGTCGTCACTAGGCTGGGGGCTATAGACAGGGTTCCTCTGCCCCCTCCACCCATATCAGAGCATCCACAGCCTAGTAGTTGTCGCCCAGGTAAACCTGATTTCGATGGACATAATGTAACTGCTGAGACAAGTCAGTCTGCAAGTTCTACTTCAGATGACAATGTAAGTACATTCTCATCACTTTATCTAAAACAAAACTTTTTTTTGGGGGGGGAGGGTTGTAATTCCCTATTTTCTTGTTTTTAGCCTCCTTTAGTTGTGGAATAATGAATTGCAATATCATAAAACATAGTTTGTGGTTTTTGCATGATCTTACACTCATTAAGGACACAACCAAATATAAGAAAATATTTTTTTTTTCCCCGGAAATGAGCGTTAAATCGATATAGAACTTATTTCTTCTTTATTTTGCCTACTCAATAGGTTTGCTCAATCTGCTTCATTAATCCAAAGAATATGGCATTTGGTTGCGGACATCAGGTAAAACAGTTATTCATTTTACAAACCTTCTTCGGGAAAAAGTTGAAGCTACATTGATGATTTAACTTATTGTTTATTTGCAGACTTGCGGCAATTGTGAGGAAAATCTTCAATTATGTCCAATCTGTCAAAGCACCATCCAAACCCGGATAAAACTCTATTGAAGTGTCATCTAATGCAGCGGAACCATTGCTCATCACATCTTGTGCTATGTACATATTTTCACTTTTAGATTCATGTGAGATATTTGTTTGTGCACTATATCTTTGGTATTGATGAGCTGTGTAAATTTGTAATCAACTTTCGAGTGCAGTCATGTGAGACATTTGTTTGTGCACTATATATCTCTTTTCTATTGATGAGTTGTATAAATTTGTTTGTAGGATCATAAGTTCTGTACTGGCTGAAATCGCGGCATCGACTTCTTTGTGTTGTTTTGATTCTGTTTGAACGATGTTTTATCTGCACTATAGTTTTGATAGCAGCTTTTCATTATGTCTGGAATGATTCGACTTTTGTGATTCCTTTTGGCTTCCCAACTCTTGGCATAAGAGCACGTAGTTTGTATGCTATGCTTTATTTTTATTAGCATGGTTGGGAAAATTTTCCTTTATTTTTAAATGTCATCTATTTTCTCTGCACTTACTCCTTTTCATCAATAATGTATATGAATGAAAATTTGATGTTATTATTTATTTTATATTGAAATATACATTTTTATTATTTATTGTTGTATCTTTACGTTATTTGTATTAATTATTAGTTTGTCTCTAAATGTCAATGTAATTTTATTAAAACTAAGAAAGTTGTATTTTTTTAAATTTCAACAGAGGCGAATGTAAATTAGTGTTTTTAGTGGCGATGCCAAGGTTTTGAAAAGGGAGATTTTTTATAAAGTTCCTGATATTAAGATTTTATAGGATAAAGGACATGCAATATTTTCATAGTAGTTGGGGTTTCTTAACAATTTTTCAAAGAAATTTTGATTCAAAGAAATTTCGATCCAGAGAAATTTGAAATTTCTCTGGTTTGTTCAATTTCTCTAATTTTCTCTGTGTTTTCAAATTTGTCTGGTTTGAATTTTTTCTGATTTGCCAACAAATTTCTTTGTATTTTGATTAATTTTCTTTGATTTGCTCACAATTTTCACTATATTTTAAATAAATTAAAGAAAATTGAGCTACTTAGAAATTAAAAACAGAGCTCCACGCAAGTCACTCAAGCACTTGAACTCTCTACCTAGGAAACTTCTTGTGACAATCCCACTACGTATTATATTTGGCATTTAATTAATTAAGGAGATTTAAATTTTAATTAGTCGTTATTTTGATTTAATTTGGGATTTACGAGGATTATGGAGCCCAATTGATGAGTGATTTTAATAATGATTTATTTTGGAATTAGAAATTGAAGATCCAAATGGCTTAAGGAAGTGAACTTAATTAGTTGAATCAATTTGATTTCAAGTATTGACCCATTTGAGAGCTTAATTAAACATTCAATTCAGCTTCGATTCAGTTTAATAAAATTAAGATTTGATTAATTGGGTTCGAATTGGAGTTAATTAAATTAATTACATTATAAGGTTTGAGAAATTATGATTGTTACGAATTAAATCTATTTATGAGGTGTCCAATTTAAACATGTAATTTATTTATAAGGATTTTGGGTTTGACTTGAAATTGAAGGCCTTAGCGATTTGAGACACTCAAATTGATAGTAGCAATAAGTTCAATTTGATATTTGGAGCCTTTTGAGAGTTTGACTAAAAATCTGATTCAAATTCATAAAGTTAAATATAATTAATTGGGTTATAACGGAAGTCAAATTAGGCTAATTAAATTATGTGATGTGTAATTAGTTGTGATTAATTAAATTAAATACTATTCAAGTGCCAATTATAATTGGTTAGGACTAAGCGATGATTAAGTTAAATTAATGTGTAATTGGTGTACCAAACAAATCCTAATCAATTAAATTGATGTGCAATTAGCAAACTAAGTTAATTCTAATTAATTATATGTGAGAAGAGAGAGAGAGAGAGACTACTCAATTGAATTGTTGTATTGGGTGTATGTATGCACGTGTATATGGGATGAAAGGAAAAGTCCTACAGTTCGAACTCTCGTGGTTCTAAATCTGATAAGCTCTACAGTTCAGACTCCCGTGGTTCTGAATCTGATTCCATAAGTGCAATGTGAAATAGAAAACACAAAAGAGTCTAAATTCGGCAAATCTTTAGAAAATTGATTTTGAATCACAAATGCCAAAAATGGATTGCTTTGCCAAATACAAAGTCGCCACCTCAATATTTTTGAAAAATTTAGGATACACATGACTCGTGCCAAAGGCCACGTGTCCGTCATCACCAAGATTGTCTCGACTCGGGAACTTAGGCACGAGAGGGGAAAGTCATGAATTGAGCACCCCCGCTCGCCCGTTCAAATATCAGCCTCTACTAATCATGATATGATTCTTTTTATATTATATGCCCTCGTTCTGATTTATTAGGCCAACTTACTATGTGATGTGCACACAAGTATAGACCATTTTGTCAAAATTGGAATATTTGATCTTATGTTTGCTTTGAAAATTGTTTTGTGAATGTGCCACTTGAAAATGTGGGCTCAAATAAACATTACTCAAATTATTTTAATTTAAACAATTAGCCTTCATCTACAGGCATTCAATCAGATATATCAATTAAGCAATTAGCCAAATCTTTTAGAAAATTGATTTTGAATCACAAATGCCAAAAATGGATTGCTTTGCCAAATACAAAGTCGCCACCTCAATATTTTTGAAAAATTTAGGATACACATGACTCGTGCCAAAGGCCACGTGTCCGTCATCACCAAGATTGTCTCGACTCGGGAACTTAGGCACGAGAGGGGAAAGTCATGAATTGAGCACCCCCGCTCGCCCGTTCAAATATCAGCCTCTACTAATCATGATATGATTCTTTTTATATTATATGCCCTCGTTCTGATTTATTAGGCCAACTTACTATGTGATGTGCACACAAGTATAGACCATTTTGTCAAAATTGGAATATTTGATCTTATGTTTGCTTTGAAAATTGTTTTGTGAATGTGCCACTTGAAAATGTGGGCTCAAATAAACATTACTCAAATTATTTTAATTTAAACAATTAGCCTTCATCTACAGGCATTCAATCAGATATATCAATTAAGCAATTAGCTTCATGGAAAGCATGCTAGACATGGTAACAACCACACTTATGCAATATGCCAAAACAAATAAAAACTCACCTAATACTCCAAGCCAAAAAAGATGACAAAGTTAGAATAATGCATGATCCTAACTATGCGATATGACTAATGCAATGCATACAATATGCAATTTACTAGGCTCAGCTACTAATATGGCATATGAATCGATTTGATAGCATGCGGTCGAAGCACGTATTCAAAGAATGTTAAATTACAATGCAAGTTAGAATAATGCGCCAAGCTCAATGCATGCAAGGCATGAGAGATGCTAAACGAAACATGATGCCCCTAAACTAACCATCATAAGCAGTTAAATAAAAGGGAGAAAAACGTGGGGTTAGGAGACATACACATTATTACAATTGTGCCCTTGCGCAGAAGGGTCCGAATAAACTATCTAGCTAAGCAAATAGCTATTACAAAATAAATTAACTAATTATTACAAACCGAATAAACTAACTATGCTAGCTAGTTATTACAACACCAATGATTAATTATCTAGTCTATGGAACTAACTAATTAATTACAACATGAATACAACATGAAATAAGTAACTAAGCTAACTAATCAGTCCCGGGAAGCGAGGAATGCTCGTGCATGCACGAATTTCCACCTAAAAAACCCACTGTTCTGCTACCAGAATGCTTCTGTTGCAAAGTAGAACATCTTTTCACCTCAGCCTCTATTCTGTTATGTTCCAAAAAGTTGCTGCTCAATTTGACAAAAGTAGCTGGCAGGCCAGAAGTGGTGGCCGCTGCCGGCCACAAATGGTAGCCTGCTGTCCAGAAGTGGTGACCAGCCAGCCACTGAAGGTTGGTTCCTCCTACTGCAACAGAAAGCATACAAAGCACAAATAGGGTATTCTCAAGGTATGTTTGTCCACCCTGCCTCTCCCTATCATCAAACAACTCAAATGAGGGGTAGGCTTGATTCGCAAGCCATCAATCGATGCAATTTCATTGCATGATGGCCTATGAATCAAGGGGTACAATTTCAATAAAGCATAATAAAAGACTTTCAAACCACTTCCCTATCATGGATTGATCAAGGGAAATGATTGACCTTGGAAACTTGAACCATTTCATCACTAGTAAGTATGAAATGCCTCAAGTTTCCATATGTTCAATTAACGTCTGATTGAACACAACCAAA